TTGTTGTTTGCCATTGTTATTAACTTCATAATAAAAAACTTAAATTAGAATTTACATTAAATGCTAATCTAAATTTATATCCGTATAGTTATCTATACTACTTATATACTACTTATAAAAGAGGATGTTTATGTCAAAACATTGGATTGTATCTTCTGCCCAATCAATTTTGATAATTCCAATTTATGACTAACACTCATTATTTTTCATCCAATTTTTTCTACTTATTGCACCCTCATTATTACAATAAGCATAGTCTTTATTATTAAACACTTCATGTTAGTTTTTAATTAAATAAGATAAATATTTTGCTTTAGGTATTACGATATTATTAAATAAATATGTAATGTCAGTAAATAAGATAATAAAAACATTAGAACTAATAGATCTGACTAATAAATTTTTGACGGTATTAATAATCAGAAAGTTTATATTTCCTAAAAAGATGAGAGGTGAAAAACACTTATCTCCTATCACAAGATATCTGCGTGCTAATAAAAAGGTGAGATATATTGTGTCCAACTTTCCTTATTATTAATTATTCTATCCATTCTTCTCTGCATTTTTTTAAAGCTTTCTCTATCTAAGTATGAATCCAAACCTTTGAATATTTTTAGTATTAATATTTTTAGTATTAATGATCATTTAATAGAAAAGGCGGGAGCGGTTTCAGCGTATGTTAGCAGGCGAAAATTTCCCTGCTAACTTGCGCATCCTCTGGGATCTCAATGGCGAAGAAGAAGAAATTTAGCGGGAAAAAAGTTCTTAGCTATGGATTAGGAGCTTCGATCTCATCTCAGATCAACATTGAGGATAATTCTGTTGATAGCGGGGATGAAGTTGATTCTCTCATGGGATCTATGAGACCTAAGGGAGCAACGAAGTCCAAATTGCTGTCAGAGATTCTGGAATCATCTTGTTCTGTGTTTGATTCAAATCTTGATCAAAGGTCGTCTTCTTTGGCGAGATCTCAAGATCGAGCTCTTTTGGTGGCGGGAATCCAAAATCGACAGCTATACAAGCCACCGGTGGTGGGAAGTTCAGATAGCCACCTCTGTAAGTCTTCTTCTTCTTGTAATAGCGAAAATCTCTCTGCTAGGGTTTCTTGGGCTGAGAAAATTGAATCGGAGCTATCTTTGTCTAGATCTAAGCCTATTTCCAATCCCGTGCTTCTGGTTTCAAAGACTAAGATTGATGGTGTTTTGAATCTAAACACTAGGAATAATGTTGATGATAGTTCTTTGTTTCTGAATGAGGTCAATAAAGTTAGTCTAGATGAAAATCTAGATCCTCCTCTTGAGATCTCAAAAAATCCTACTAAAAGCTGGAGTGGTTTGTTCTCTGATAACAGAAGACCTGGAAAAGGCATGGTCTTGAATTACTTGCCTTCAGATACAAATGATTCAGTAATTTTCAATGAAGAAGAATGGAATGATGGTGCCTCAATGTGGTCTTCCTCAATAATTAGGCAAGTACTGGGTTTAAGTGTTAGCTTCAAGGCAATGCAGAGCTATGTGCACAAAGTTTGGTCCCATGTTCCTAAAATTTGTCTACTAAGGGCACAGGCTTGTTCCTGTTTAAATTCAATGATTAAGAAGCTATGAATGAAGTTCTAAGTAATGGTCCTTGGTTTTTTGGCTCAAGACCAATGCTCTTAAAACCCTTGACTATCGATATGAAAACTAATAAATCTGATGAGTGTTTGTATCCTTTATGGATTCAATTGCCAGCTTTGAGATTGAATTTATGGAATTCCAAGAGTTTAAGCAAAATTGCCAGCATTATAAGAAAGCCTATTGCAACTGATATGTTGACAGCTAATAAGCAAAGACTGTCATATGCTAGGGTATTGGTGGAGGTTAAAATGCCATCTCATCTACCTGACCACATTACTATCCAAGGACCATATGGCAAATCTTATAACCAGAAGGTGCTCTATGAGTTTAAGCCTAGGTGGTGTGATATTTGCAAATTTGTGGGTCATGATACAAATTTCTGTAAGAAAAAGAAAAACATCCAGAAATGGGTTCCTAAGGGATCCTACCCAGCAGCTCCTACTCTGGTTGTTAATCAAGAAGCTATCAAAGTGAATAACAAGGGAAAATCTGATGCTCATGAGGTTATGCAGGATAGCAATCTCCAGTCTCCCGTGCATGTTGTGCATGTTTCAGGAAATAGACCTGTACATAATGAAAGATCTAGGCTGCATATAAATATTGGAAAATCTATTGAAGGAAATGATAAAGGTAAATCTGTTGCACAAGAATATATGAAGATTGACAAAAACTGCCAGGTACAAGCACATGAGATACATGATTTTGGAGACACTCCTGAAATGTTGCATATTCAGGGAAATTCTTCCATTAATGAAACACAATATGCAAATACTCCAAGGCTGAACATATCCTTAGAACCTGCACATTTGGTAAATATCCTGGGGGAGGCTACTGAGGCCAGATCTGTGCATGTTGTGCACAGACAATACACTGAGTCTGGGAGTCCAAATGAAAATATCACCTGGATACCTATTCAAGGTCATAAATCTAATGTGCATTGCAACTATAATGATGTTCTCAGAGCATCAAGCAAAAAGATTTCTAGTAACTCCTTCTTGCCATTGGAGAGTTTAGTATCTGAGCCCTCTACTGTTGATAGAGGGTCTTCTATGAAATGAATCTTTCTTTCTGGGATGTGAGAGGGTTAAATAAACCCTCAAAACAAATGTTGATCAAGCAACATATACAGTTCTACCACCTTTCCTTTATTTCTCTCCTGGAAATTAAAATCAAGGAAGCTAATATGTTGAATACAACAAGAAGAATTGCTAAGGACCGGAACTGGCTTTCTAATGTTAGTAGCTCTGAGAAGGCCAGGATTTTTATACTATAGGATCCCAATATATTGGATATACAACAAATAAATCTCTCTAGCCAACAGATTTCATGCAAGGTAAACTCTACTGATGGAAGGTTCTCATGTGTGATATCATCAGTGTATGGCTATAATAATATGCAAGCAAGGAAGAACTTATGGTCTGAATTATCTCAAATTCACAATTCAATTGGTAGCATACCTTGGCTTGTATGTGGAGACTTTAACACAGTTCTTTGTAATGAAGAAGAACTGGGAGGCTCTGTTTTAACTGATGTTGATACAAATGACTTCAGTTCTTTTATAGAGAATTGTCAACTCTCCCATATGAATACTATAGGATGTTTCTTCACTTGGAATAACAAACAAGACAAGGATACAAGAGTTTGGAGCCGTTTGGACAGAGCTCTAGTAAATGAAGACTAAATTCATCATCTTAACTCTAGTCATGTGGAGTTCATGTTAACCAATTTCTCAGACCACTCTCCAGCTATTGTCTCAGTTTATGAAGACTATTCTCAAGGTAAAAATCTCTTTAGATTTTTTAAAATGTGGACAGAGCACTCTGATTTTCTACCCACTATTTCTGCCATATGGAATTCTCATGTTCGTGGCTTTCTTATGTATTCTGTATGCACAAAACTTAAAAAGCTAAAAGAAGCTTTGCAATATCT